GGGATCGGGATGGGGGTGGCGATTGGCAAAATAATACCGATCGTCACCGTTCCGATTACAGCATTCGCGCGTGGGCCACAACCCGCCAACAGGCGCGCGGGCGCCACTGGCAGAAAAGATCGGAAGCGACTTTGCGTCGACTCGTCCTTTTGGTGGTGGAGGATATCTGCGCAGCGATGTGCCGCACACAGCGAGGCGGAACATGCAGGGCCAAACCGTTCTGGACGACAGGAGGAGGCGAGCTCGGTGCGCTCGACCCGTGGCAGCCGGCCCCTCCCCCACACATCCCTCGTCACTGCGCCGACGTATCCGCTGCCGTGCCCTGGAGGCACGACGTGGATGGCTCTCGGGTCCCGTGCTGCCCAGACCCCGAGTTCCGAAATCTTCGCCCGGACCCCGAATTCCTGAATCTTCCGTGTCTTGTCGCGTGGCTCCGAGGGCGCATGTCGCATGACTTATTCGGGCCCACTGGTGCCCCACGACGGGCCAGGAGTACCCCACGAGCCCCCCGAGATGGCCAAAAGGGCTCCGAATCGCTGAGCGAGCGGTCCAGGACGCCCAAGATGGGCTCAAGTCGGCCAAAAAAGCGCCCCAGACGTCCCAAGAGGCCTTCCAGAGCCTTCCCGGGAGGGCCCAAAGGAGCCCAAATTATTGATTTCCATTCTGAAACGGGCCGCGCGCAACTGTGGCAGTGCATCACACAACTTTGGCTGGCAGAACCTGGCCAGCGGCACGACACACCCGCGATGACGCACTCACATTGGTGATTGCGTCACCACCACAGTCGCCGGCAAGTGAATGCTACCTCCATTGCTGGGGGTGGCCCTTATGTGCCCGCGACTGCTCTGGCGCGTCAGATTGTCCAAGGCATCTTCGCACAGCGGCGAGCGACCCTTGCGGCGCAGTCTCACGATAAATCGGTTTCATCACCTATCTCATAATCGATGTTACCCTCTACCATACTCGCGACCAATGGATCCCACTATCACTGTCACGAGCGACAACACTAGCGATGTTACTACCGAGCGGCCTGGGTATCCATTGCACTCGATATCAATCGGCCTCAAGATACGTCGATCCAACTACCTATCTATCGATCTCGCTACCTATCGACCTCACCGTCGATCTCACTTTCGATCCCACTATCGATCTCACACAATGTCGTTCCTTCGGTCTCGCTAGCTGTCGATCTCGCAATTGATCTCACGATCCCACTGCAAATTTAGCAATCGACCGACTATCGATCCCACTCGCCATCTACCATCGATCTCACTTTCGAGATCCCTCTATCTACCGGCCTCGCTATCCATCGATCTCACAATGGATCCCAATATCGATCACACTACCCATGTCACGATCGACGTATCTATCGACCTCACGATCGATCTCACGATCGATCCCACTACCGATCTCCCCCAAGCGATCGCATCATCGATCTCCCTGTCGACCTCAGCGGGACACCACGGGAAACCGCGGACACCCCGCGCCAGGGAACACCACGGGACACCGCGGAGCACCGCGGGACACTGGCGGGACACCCCCAAAGCCCCCGCCTGCCAAGCTGGAGGGGGAGAGACATGGAGCCCGGCTTCGCCCTAGCCAGGGCGGGCTCCTTCCTCTCGCCCGCCCGCGCAGATTCCCCAACCGCCGATACGCATACCCATGTATGCATGCGCACATGTATACGACCGTATGCATCCCTGTTTCGTGCGGCTCGATGGCCAAGACGATCTGCTCACCGGAGCCTGTCGGTCCGCTCTCCACCTTCCCCTCTCACATGAATCAGCCTCCGGACCCTTCTCGACTTCCTCCCCACCAATGTTTCAGGCAGCGCCCATCCATGGCGACAAGAAGCACCCGGCGGACGTCAAAAGAGGGCCCAAACTACGCAACGCAAAAATGATTCTCGATCCTGGGCCCCCTCCCCCAAGTCGCGGCCCCTGGCGCTGTCCCAGGGGCGCCATCTGATGGCAATTTAGAGGCGGATCCAGCAGCGGCGACGCAAGGCCTCCTGGAGGCCACCAGAAAGGACAAGAACGCTGGCAAACAAAAGCCATAAACACCAAGTCCTCAACCCTGGACCTCTATCCCTCCCTCTTCTCCCGAACATCGACCCAGGCACCTGGCATCACGACTGCATCGTGGCACGACCCCCCCCGTACCTCTTGAAGTCCTGCGGGCCCGAGATGGGCCTCCTGAGATCCAGAAGCCTTTGTTTGACGCATGGGCCTCTCGATCCTAGACCTTCTGTCCTCGGCCCCCTCCTTCTCCTCCTGCTCCTCCGTCCTCCCTCCTCCTCCTCAGTCCTTCTCTCCCTCCTCTCTTCTCTTATCCACCCCATCTATCAGCCTCATCTCCCTCCTCCACCAGTACCATCTCCTCTCCGTCCTCTGCTCTTCCTCTCCCTCTGTCCTCTCACCACCTCCTCCTCCTCCTCCTCCTCCTCCTCCTCCTCCTCCTCCTCCTCTGCCCCCTCTCGGTCAACCTTGGCTCTCCGGCCTCCGCCCTCCCTCCCCCTCCTCCTCCTCCGCTCCTCCTCTCCTCCTCCTCTGTCCTCCTCGTGCCCTCCCCGCCCCCCCCCCCCCGCCCGCTCCGCGCCCCAGCCCCCCCCCCGCCCCGCTCCTGGACTATGAGGTCCACCTTCACGGCGCTGGTCCCGCGGCCGGCTCGCCGCGCCCGCCAGGTCCAAAGGGGGCGCCCGGGAGGAACCACCACCCACAAGGGGCGCCCGAAGGGGCGCCCAGGGGAGTCCAAAGGGGCGCCCAAAGGGGCGCCCAGGAAGTCCTCCCCCCTGCAGGTGGAGAGGGGAGAGGAGGGAGGGTGCGGGGAGAGGAGGCGAGCCAGGTGCGCTCGCGACATAGCTGACATCCTATCCCGTCCTCCCGTCGCTTCCCACCGCCCTCGCGTGTTCTCTATCCGCGGACGCGTGTTAAAGTCGACTCTGGCTTCGAAAAAGACCCCATCGTGTCATGCGCAATCGGATACAGGGAGCTGTGTACATAGGAGAAGGAGGAGGAAGAGGAGGTGGCGTGTGAACAGGATAATGAGCAGGAGGATGAGGATGAGGAGGAGGAGGAGGAAGAAGAGGGAGGAGGACGAGTACGAACAGCAGTAGCAGGAAGCGACGTGGAAGGAGTGGGAGGAGCAGGAGGACAAGGGGAAGATGAACGAGGACTTGGATCCAGAAAAATGGCCCGCGCTAGGGCGAGAGCGCCACTCTGAACGACAGGAGCACATCACCGATCTGGAAAGGAGGCCCACATTGCAACGGAGGCACCATTTCGAAACACCAACAAATCGGATCCTAGAGTCACTTAGAAAATCGAAGACATGCAACATCCTGTGAAGACAAGAGAACGCGGAGAGGGCGGAGCATCCTCCGCACAGGGCCAGGGGAGACAGGACAGAAAACAACATACTGTGTACGTGTATCGGGGCGAACTAGGGACGCCGGCGCCGTATCCGACATTCGAACCCTCTCACCCATCCCTTCCAAGTGCGCTAGCTGCTTCTAGACCCGCCGATGGGTGACCTAGCGAACTTGGAATCCCCCAAAGGACCCCGCAGGGTCCTGCTCAAGCACGAAAAGATGAGCTGCGCCAACTGGAGGAAGCGGTGGAGAATGAGCACGAGGAGCAGGAGGATGGTTGGAGGCCTGGAGATTGGCACCAACACCAGCACAGGAGGGTGCCCCATAGGTGGAAGATGATCCTAGATTTCGGTGTTGGTGGTAATTTTTCGGGCACCTTGGAAGCCAGAATATTACCACCATCACCGAGACCGTGACCTTCTGCCCTCTGTGGAGGCACGCTGCCGATCCTAAAATGAGGCCCATGCTGCAACGGCAGCACATCCTTGAGACACCGAAGGAATTCCGATTGACACAACCATAGGAAAGACCCACTAATGACATCATGTGCTAAACACAATGCGTGGGGGGGGGACTCCCCGGCCATCTTCGGGGGTGAGAGGACCATAGTACTCATATCAAGCCAGGTGCGCTCGCGCAACATCTGACATCCGACCCCTCCAACCCATCCTTGTCCACTGCGCTGTTTGTTTCTCTATCTGCGGACGCGTGACACGTGTCACAGCGGACCTGGAACTCAAAAAAAAAACCCGTCGTCTCCTGAGCATTCGAAAACAGGACGCTGCGTGAAATTGAGGTGGTTTCGGATGAGCAGGAGGATCAGCAGCAGGAACACAAGGTGGATGATGAAGGACATGGACGAGGACGAACAGCATCAGCTCAGCAGGAAACTGGAGCGGAAGAAGCGGGAAGAGCAGAATGACCAGGGGACGGCGGGGGAACGGAAGCGATTGGAGCGACGGTGATGAGGAAGGAATCGGATCCCGAAAGGTGGCCGAAGATTAGGACGTGGTGGTGCGCAACTCTCAGGACGTCTTTGGGGGAGAGAGAGAGAGAGAGAGAGAGAGAGAGAGAGGGGTCGTACTCATATTGGATAATTGGTTGAATAACTGTTAGCTGTAGAGGAGGAACCGGGAGGGGAGACGGGGGAGGAGCGAGGAGGGGGCAAGCTAGTTGGGTTCGCGTTATATCTCATCCTAACTCTTCCTCCCATCCCTTACCATTGCGCAGAGCCCCTCTGCATTCGCAGAGCCGAATGTCGAAGAGGACAACGACCCTCAAAGGGTACGCGTTGCATAGCATGGCATAGCGTTGCGTAGTCAAGCATTGCATATCACAGCATTGCATTGCAAATGATACAGCATTGCATGGCGCGTCATTGTATAGTATGACACTGCGTAGCCCAGCTTTGCATGTCTTAGCATTGCAGGGCAAATCATGGAATCGTATAATGGCGGCACGTGGCATAACATTGGATTGCACACCCTGGGTGCATGAACGGTACAGCCAGAAGACCATACCAGCAAACCGATAGTCTGGAGATAAGGCCAGTGCTACACTTGGAGCACCATTCGGAAGGACCGATAACGCTGAAATTGGGACAACGCTCCAGCAGAAGCACTGTTCGGAAAGAACTGATGCTGCAGCAGGAGCACCATTCACTATGACCGAAAACACTGACATGATACCAACGCTGCAGCGGGAACACCATTCTAAAGAACCGAGAACGAGCGGGCTTGGAATAAGATCAGATAAGATCAACATAGCTGTTGAAATCTAGTGTGACACGAGAATACGCGGGGAGAGCGGGCCATCTTCTGGACAGAGTCAGGAGAGAGAGAGAGAGAAGAGTAGTACTCATAATGTGTATTTGTGCGAGGGGGGGCGGAGGGAGGGAGGGAGGCAGGGGTGGGGGGCGGGGAGGGAGGAGGGAGGGAGGGAGGGAGGGGGGAGGGGGGAGGAGAAGGAGGAGGAGGAGGAGGGGGAGCAGCAGGAGCAGGAGGAGGAGGGGGGCGAATTATAAAGAAGTGAATTAGAAGACCGGAGGAAACAGAGGAGAAGGAGGATAGAGACAGGACGGAGGAGAAGCATGGCAAGCGAGGGAGGAATGGTACGGACTACTGTGAACCGAAGACTCATCAACGATGTTGCAATCAACCCTTCCCCCAGATTCCCCCTCCATAAGCCACTACAATGATTCATTTCCATTGAAGGAAAAGTCCCGTTAGAAGACAAACGCCTCAAAATCCTGAACCGCGCCAGAACACCATTTCTGGGACTTCAACGTCGCGAATTCGAGTAACTGGTGTGCCCTGGCAGTCGTACGTCGTGCCAAAACACGATTTCTGAAAGGTAACGCCCTCCATCCGTGAAATTCTTACGCACCCCGAGTCGGAAGAATGCGCGCAACACTCGAGCGATAACCACGATATGAAAACCAACCGCCCTCCACCCGTGAAGCTCTTGCAATTTTTCTGAAACGAGTTCGCGCGGCGCTGAAACGAGAAACACATTTCGAAAACGGCCTGCCCTCCATCAGTGTAGGGACAAGGAAAGGCGACACCAACACCAACAGGGCGAGGAGATGCAAGGAGGCAAGGGGGGTCTCCCTGGTGGTGTGGTCCCCCCCTCTCGCTCGAGACATCCCCAGCCTCCAGCTCGGGGAGGCCTCGTGGACCTCCTCGCTGGAAGTGGGCCCCCTGGTGGTGCTGGTATCGCTTCTCCTCCCTCCGACCCTCCATCCGTGAAGGCTCCTGCAAGCTGATGAAACGAAGGCGCGCGGCGCAGAGGCGAGAGCCACCTCGTGAGGAGAAAAAGGACCGCCCTCCACCCTTGAAACTGATGTAAATTCCCAGCGGGCGGACCATAATCGGTGAGGATGCCTCAAGCGACACGCCCAGCCCATCCAGAGGAGGAGGAGGAGGAGTATGGGTACCCTGATGGAGGAGAAGGAGGAGGAGGAGGAGGAGGAGAGGAGAGGGCGGAGGAGAAGGAGGGCAGATGTGGATGCAAAGGGATGGTGGAAGAGGAGGAGGAGGAGGAGGTGAAAGGAACAGGAATCTGAGGAGGGTCGGCGGAAGAGAAGGTGGCAGGTACGACGATCAGATGTGTGGGCGCTAGTTGACCTTCGTGGGCTTCTCGAGACCCCAGGGGCCCGCCAACGGACGGAGATGAGGACGCAGAGGCCAGGGACGTCCCAGAACAACCGAACAGACCTCCCGAATGCCGAACATGCTGGCATCACCTCATGATGATTCTTGTGTGTGCTGATGTTTGCTGCTCCTGGTGGGGGGCCTGATGAGAAGGGAGAGGAGAGAGGAGAGAGGACAAGCGATGTGCGTAACCGTCATACCCGACGTCATGCTCTTCCCTCCCACCCATCACCACTGCGTAGACCTCTTCTCTGTTCGCACACTCGGATGTCGAACTGGGCAATGAGTCCGATTGAGTACGCGATGCATGGTATAGCACGGCATCGAAAAGCACGGCCACAGCCGACGTCGTCGCGCCGAGCACGCGACTCATGTCGACAACCATGTCAGAGGGAAACCAGACATGACACAGGACGGTATATGCAAATTAACGGTTTAAAAAGCGGGAAGCGCAACATGACATCAGCGCTGCAGCGGGAGCATGATTTGGAAGAGCGGAAACCGCGGAAATGAGACCAGAGCTGCAGTGGTAGCAGGATTTGGAAGGACTGGAAGCGTGGAACCGAAGCCAACGCTGTAACAGGAACACGAGTTGCAAGAACCGAAACAATGGAATGAGGTCAACGCTGCAGCGGGCACATGATTTGGATGGACTGAGCACGGGAACATGGGATCAACGCTGTAGTGGGGGAGCCATTCTGAAAGGACTGCAAAAAGCTCGGATTGGAAAAACATAATTGAATTCTCAATTCGGCGGCATTCTGTGTGTAAAAGACGATACGTTGAGGAGGCCAGGACACCTCACCAGCAGCTTCGAGGGAGGAAAGGGACGTAGTATTCATGTTGTGTACAATTCTGGAGGAGAGGGGGGAGGAGAAAAAGCAGGAGGAGGGACGGAAGATCATACCGACTCGACATGGCCATCGTGTTTGTCCCTCAGGCGGCGTCTCGGGACACAACCAGCCAGCACAATGACTACACGCTTCCTTGCAGATGAGACTGCCAACAGGAACAACGCCACCTGCGTGTGCGACGTCTGGGCAGAGCGCACCGTGCGGCGTGTTGAGCCACACGCCAGTAAGACCCGGAGAGGACGGATGGAGGGAGGCTCAAGAAGGAGTGAGGAGGAGGAGGGGGCGGCTTCGGAGGGAGGCCCTCGGCAGCTTCGCCTGCAGGAGCGGGCGGCCTCTGAGAAGGCTTCCTGGAGGCCAGGAGGGCCCGTCTATGATTTGGAGGGGCCCCCCTGTCCTCCTAGAGGCCCGCTGCTCTCGTGCCGCAAACCAGCCGAATGCCGGGGGGGGGCTCATGAACAGGGGGTTGGCGCCTCCTCCGGGAGGGACCCCCCCAAACACTCCCCAGAGCCTCCTCCGGGGACCCTCAGAGGCGCCCCGCCCGAGCAGCGCCCCCAACCCGCTCGAAATCCTCGGTGCCTCCCTTGGCTTCCGGGAGGAGAGGGTGACCCCTCCCCGCTGGGCGACACCGCCTTCGAGCACTCCCCGAGTCCAATCCGGCTTCACAAGGTGGTCATGGGGCTCCCGGAACGGTGCGGTGAAAGACCGTGCGGCGACCTCAGAGGCCTCGCCGCACGGTCCATCGCCGAACGGGCTTGCACGGCTCGGGGGCCCTGGAGGCTCCAGCCGCCCGACAGACCTCCTCTCGGGGATGGACAGACCTCCCTTTAGTAAAACGTGGTTTAGTGAAAACGACCTGAGGCCCAAACCTGGCGGGCGCAAGCCTGGAACATAACGGCCGCGGCGCCCTCTCGAGAACCGAAGACGGACCATTCACGAATCGACGTGTCACTGTTGGGGGGTCTGTCCGCCCCCGATCCCTCGGAGAACCGTACGGATCCCAACACCGTGCGGTCACTCCGAGTCCCCACTCGCCACACCCGAGCCTCCGAGTGCCCTGGTTTCCGGGCCAGCACCCGCTGCTCTGGCGGCCGTGCGGCACGACCCCTGGCACCCCCACAGGATGCTCTCGGCCAGGAGCGGCTGCGGGAGCGCTTCCCGAGGCAGCACATTCCCCCCCCCCCCGGGGAGCCAACGAGAGCTTCCAAAAATCCCGAACCCCAGTCTCACTATTGGAGCCTCACGGTGTGGTCACTGCGGCGATTGGAGCCCCCGTGGTTCCTGGATTCGGCGGTGGACAAACCTCCCTTTAGTAAACCACCCTTTTTAAAGAAGACGGCCTAGGACCGAAACCGACGGACCTGGACCCGGAAAAATGACGGCCGCGACGCCCTCTCGCGAACCGAAAACGGCCAATTCACTAATCGACGTGTCAGGGTAGGAGGTCTATCAACCTCCGATGGATTCCCCCCCCTGGCCTCTGGGGTAGGGGGGCGGGCCGACCGCGGCGCTGGACTCGTCCATGCCCCTGCTGCCGTGCCTCGAGCAAGGGGGGGGGCGAACTCGTCGTTTGCGTCGTCGGCGTCGGAAGGGGGGAGGGGCAGGGGGGAGCGGGGAGGAGTCCGGGAGGAGGAGGAGGAGGAGGAGGAGGAGGAGGAGGAGGAACAGGAGGAGGAGGAGCAGGAGGAGCAGGAGGAGAAGGAGGAGGAGGAGCAGGAGGAGGAGCAGGAGGATGCGGAGGGAGGGGGGAGGGAGAGAGGGAAGGGGGAGGAGGGGGAGGGGGCATCATCGATGCTGATGGTGATGAGGAGGGGGGGGGGGAGGAGGAGGGAGGGAGGGAGAGAGGGGAGGGGGAGGAGGGGAAGGGGGGATCGTGCATATGCTGATGGTGATGAGGAGGGGTGGGGGGGGGATGAGGAGGGGGGGATGCAGGCGAGGCGAGGCGAGGCGAGCGCCGATGCCGCTCCGCGCATGTGCCCCGAGCGCCTCCTAAGGAGGTCGGCCGTGGGGCCGCAGCCCGTCAGAGGTCGTCCGCCCAGCGTTTTCTCGGTCCGTGCAGGCGTCGCGTCGCCAGCTGCGCGGGCCCCAGGAGCCCAGGAATAGACGCCACCACCACCTACGCCGCCCCCTCCCCTCCTCCAGCCTCCTCCGGCCTCCTCTTCCTCTTCCTGTCCTCTTCCTTGTTTTGCGCTGGACTGGAAAGTGAGGGGCCCGCCCGTCGCGTTCTGTGTCCTCTTCCTCGCCAGCCTCCTCCTCCTCTCGACCCGTGCGTGCGTCGCGCTGCAAGTCGGCAGAACCGCGGATCCCTGAGGCCAACATTTGCACGTCCACGCGTCCGGGCTGACATTCGGAACGTTCTGTAAGCATTCCGCTGTTTTCGCGACTCTGGGTATCCACCGGAGGCGCGTTCTTCACTGCGCAGCGCCTCGAACCCGTCCACCCAAGACTAAAATCCGAATCCGCTGCCCCTGCCTCCGTAGTCGTTGGGGTCGACTGTTCGTCTCCGTGGCGAACCCCAGGTCCTCCTCCTCCTCCTCCTCCTCCTCCTCTCCTCCTCCTCCTCCTCCTCTCCTCCTCCTCCTCCTCCTCCCTCCTCCCTCCTCCTCCTCCTCCTCCTCTCCTCCCTCCTCCTCCTCCTCCTCCTCCTCCTCCTCCCTCCTCCTCCTCCTCCTCCACCTCCTCCTCCTCCTCCTCCTCCTCCTCCTCCTCCTCCTGCGGCGCCTCCGTCCATGAGACACATGCGGCGCCTCGTTGACGTGCCAACACATAGCCAAAATACGTCGGGTGACGGGTACGATCGGCAAAACAGCGCTTGTGTGAATAACACCACTCTTCCAAGCGGTTCGAGCACGTGCTTCGATTTTCATTCAACCTACACCTGACTGCATGATGCGAACTGATGGTCAAAATATTTCTGAATTCCTGCGTGCCCGTCGGTCGGAAGAGGCGGGAAGAAACATCAAGTAGGAAGGCGTTGAAAGTAGATTGGGCTTCCGCACGCCCCCTGAGGACAAGGGCAGAGGGAGCACCACTCGACCCTTGAAGTAGGAAAGCGCCCAGAATACATTGGGACTTGAGCAGCCAAACGTACCAACTTTCACGGACCAGCGTGTACGTTAATGTTTCACTATAAGTCAGAATAAGGGGCCGAACGGTCATTCACTGTCCCTAAACGGGTGGCTAAAGTGACGTGCTGGGGTGCTGGTAAGTGAATTCCCATTTCTTAAAAAGATATGGTTAATCCCCCTGCTCGGTAACCGTGGCATAGTTTCAATTACAATGCTTCTCCCGGGGATCGCACCCTGTTTTTTTTACACAAAACTAAACGCACTGTCACCAAACAAGGCTGCTACAGCTTATAACAAGAACAACAGCAACAACAACAACAACAACAACAACAACACCAACAACAACAGTAACAACAACAATAACAACAACCTGATACTTCCACACAATGTACTCCCAAATCGCGCTTTTGCGCGGGACGTCCTCACAATGTATGCAGAAACCGCGCTTTCGCGTGGGACTGCCTTGCAATGTTTTCAAACGCCGCGCCCTCGGCACTCGAGAATCATACTCGTGCTGAAGGTTGTTTCACGATGTATTTGGGAATCGCGCTATCGCTCGAAACTTCCTCGCGACTCATGCAGGACGCACGCTTGAGCAACCCGCCTGCTAGACCTGGTCGCCGCCTGGGCCCGCCTTCCCGACCCTCCTGTTAGGGTCTACCCGCCCGATTTGCCCGTCTGGTTCTACCACGTGTTTTCCGTTCCTCGCCCCCCCCTCTGCTACCCTCTCTCGTGTTCCATCCTCCTCCCTCCCCCGTTTTTCCCTTCCTTCCATCCGTCCCCTCTTCCCGTACTTCATGAATGCAAGTAACAAGTAACCCTAAGGGTGAACGGTCAAAGACGAAAAGGGGCGGGTATCGAGGGCTTGGGATATACGTATGGAATAGCACGCGAGCAGATAAGAGCGGCCAGCCTTAAAATGGTTGTTGTGAGTGTTGTTGTTGGTGTTGCTGTTGTTGTTGTTGTTGTTGTTTTGAACTCGCACTACCGAACAAATATTGTTGATCCCCCAGGGCACATTCTGTGTTCTGAGTGAAGTGCCCTTCTCGGGGCTCGCAACCTGTTTTGTTGTATTGGAAAGCCTTGGGTCTCAGAATTGGGCGTATGTCCCAGAGTTACAACAACAAAAACGGCTCCCGCCTGGCACTTCATCAAAAGTCATTCCCACGTCGCACTCTCGCGCAGGACGTCCTCACAATGTATTCTGAAATCGCGCTTTCGCGTGGGACCTCCTCGCAATTCACTCAGACGCCGCGCCCTCGACACTCAGGAATCACGCTGTTCCTTGGGAATCGCGCTATCGCTCGAGACCCAAGATTATGCAGGACGCACGCTTCAAAAACCTGCCTGCTCGACCTGGCCGCCTGGGTCCGCCTTCCCGACCCGCCTGTTAGGGTCTGTCCGCCCGATCTGCCCGCCTGGTTCTGCCGCGCGCTTGCTGCTCCTGGCCCCCCTCCTGCTACTCTCTCTCTCTCTCTATCGTGCTCCATCCTCCCGTTCTTCCATCCGCACTCGCTTCCCATGCCGTGGGGGGCTGCAGGACGTGCACGTTGCAGGTAAACAAATTCCCCAAGGGGGCGCGATCGAAGACGAAGACACTGGGCCCCAAGGGATTGGGACACACGTGTTGAATGGCACCCACGCAGAGAAGCGCGACCAGTCTTAAAATGACTGTTGCTTGTTGTTGTCGTCGCTGTTAGAATATCATGCCAAAACAATGTATTGCTGACCCCCTCTCTGATAATCACAGTATGTCTTCCTATAACATGCTTCCCCCCCTGCTCGCACCCGTTTCTTCTATACAAGGGAACGTAAGGTGTCACCAGACTGGAATGTTGGGCCCCGAACAGCAGCAACAACAACAACGACGGCTTCCGCCTGATATTTCCTCACAATGTATTCCCGAATCGCGCTCTCGCGCGGGACGTCCTCACAATGTATGCAGAAACCGCGCTTTCGCGTGGGACTGCCTTGCAATGTTTTCAAACGCCGCGCCCTCGACACTCAGGAATCACGCTCTCGCTCTGTATGTTCTATGATGTGTTTGGGAATCGCGCTATCGCTCGGAACTTCCTCGCGATTCATGCAGGACGCACGCTTGAGAAACCAGCATGCTCGACCTGGCCACCTGGGCCCGCCTTCCCGGCCCTCCTGTGAGGGTCTACCCGCCCGATCTGCCCGTCTGATTATGCCATGTGTTTTCTGCTGCTCGCCCCCCTCCTGCTACCCTCTCTCGTGCTCCATCCTCCTCCCTCCCCTTTGTCCCTTCCTTCATCCGTCCTCTCGTCCCCTGCCTTCGGGGCTGCACGAAATACACCATCGGGGCACAATCGAAGACGAAGAGGACGACTATCGAGGGTTTGGAATATTCGTGACGAATGGCACGCGAGCAGATAATAGCGAGCAATCCTAAAATGAGTGAGTGTTGCTGTTGTTGTTGGTGGTGGTGTTGTTGGTGTTGTTGGTGTGGCTGCTGCTGTTGTTGTTGCTGCTGATGTTTGTTGCCGTCGTCCCCCCCGCAACCAAGCCCGCGAACCACCCGCGACCAACCCGCGACCCACCCGCGACCCGGCCCGCGACCCACCCTCGACCCACCCGCAACCAGGCCCGCCCCCGACCCACCCGCGACCCCCCCGCGACCCGGCCCACCCGCGACCCACCCGCGACCCACCTGCGCCCTCACCGCGACCCGGCTTGCGACCCACCCGCGACCAGGCCCGCGACCCACCCATGACCCACCCACGACCCACCCCGCGACCCACCCCGCGACCCACCCACGACCCACCCCACGATGATGATTATGCTGATGATGATGCTGATGATGCTGCTGATGATGATGATGATGACGATGACGATGACGATGACGATGATGATGATGATGATGATGATGATGATGATGATGATGATGATGATGATGATGATGATGATGATGATGATGATGATGATGATGATGATGGTGATAATGATGATGATGATAGTGGTAATGTTGATGATGATGATGATGGTGATGATGATGAGGATGACGATGACGATGCAGATGATGCTGATGATGATGAGGATGATGATGATGATCGTGGTGATGAGGGAGCAGCAATCGGAGGAGACTGGCCCGTGGCGGGGGCACGAAGAGCATGGGCCGAGGCTCCCGCCTCCCCTGGGGGGGCTGAGGCGGGCGACTGCGCCGGGGCAAACGGAGCCGGGAGGGGCCCAACTCCGGCGGCGAGCCAAGCAGGGAGGCGAGGAGAGGCGGGCCTTCTGTGAAGGCCAGGGTGGCCTCGCGCCGTCTGCCGAGAAGTGATCGAAGCCTTCCCCGACGGCACCGAAAACTTGTCAGGAAGCACGCGGGTTCCCGAGACGCCCGGGCGCCTTCGGATGCTCCGTCTCACTTCCCCAGTGGCCCGCCGCCGAAACAGGGGGACCTAAGCCAGAAGGACATCCCTCAAGAACATGAGACCCTCCGTCGGCCCAGACA